TATTGGAGTTATAGATGGTTGTGAGAAACCATGTGGGTGCTGGGAATGAAACCCCAGTCCTCTAGAAGAGCAATGGGTGCTCTTAACTGCTGAGCCATCTCTCGGGTTCATGGCCTGGAACTCTTAATTCTCCCATCTTAGTCAGCCTGTTGCTAGAACCAGAGGCATGCACCATCACACCCAGGTAATAATTTTCATATGTTTGTTGGTGTTTAGGTCTACAGACTTATCATAGTGCTCAAGAAAGCTAGGCCAACAGTCTTCCACCCTAGACACACTTCTGTAGTTTCTATCAGGGACTATACTTCTGTGTCTCCCGGGTAGATACAGGGTCTGAGTCTCCAAGCTGCCTTCAACTAGGAAACGCCCCGTATACATGCTATACGTCTGTATGGGGCTTGGGGAGAACATCTTCTAGCAACAGGGATCACCCAGAGAGAAACCACAGCCTACAGCCTCCAATGAAAAAGGTTCATACCAGATATCAGAGGCCCTGTTCCAACCCAGCCGCCACCTTAGCTATGAGACAGGCTGGATGAGCCCTCCTCCTATAGGCCTGGAGTCCTCTGGGAAACAACAGCGTGGCTATAGACACTGCTAATACATAGAGCTTCCAAGTCTGAATTTCCACAATCTAGATGATTCAGAGGAAGACAGCAGCTTCATCATTACAGGGCTGTCAGGCCCAGCCCCAACCCTGAGTCAGTAACTCCCTACCAGGCTTACGTTATTAAATACTGGGCTGTATTTAACACCAGTGAAGCTTTTTGTCTGGCTGTTCTTGGGTGGTTATTTTGTTGTTGTTGTTGTTGTTTTTAATTAAATTTAACCCATAACGGGCTATGGAATGTCTCATCCAGTAAAGGTATTTTGTCACCAGATCTGGTAGCCTGAACTCTATCCCGGGGGACCCACTTGGGATAAGATGAGATGTTTCTCCTACAAGTTATCCTGACCTCCATATGGCGAGCATACACATATACAAATAAATAAATGTATTTTTGTTTGACCATGCATGGAGCGCATGCAAGAGAGAGTTCTGTCAGAACTGTGGTTAAGTGCTGAGTCCAATCTCCACACCACATACCTGTGGAGGGGTGGGGAGAGGTGGGACGGGAAGAAGAGGAAGAGGAAGAGGAAAGCAACAGGCCCAGCAGTGGTGGGGAGGGGGCAGAGGCAGGCAGACCTCGGTGAGTTCAAGGCCAGCCTGCACCCAAGTGAGTTCCAAAACAAAAAACAAACAAACAAAAACAGCACTGGGAGGCAGAAACAGGCAGATCCCTGGGGCTCTCTGGCCAGCCAGCCTAGCTGACTTGGCAGGCCATTCCAGACCAGTGAAAGGCCTTATTATCTAGAAGAAAAAAAATGATCTGAGGTCTGAGGAAGGACACCCAAGGTTGTCCTCTGATTTCAACAAGTATACTGGAACACACACAACCACAATTAATCCATGGAATTTTGCTTCTTAAATTCATTATTCTGAACCCCCCTCCCTCGTGTGTGTGTGTGTGTGTGTGTGTGTGTGTGTGTGTGTGTGTGTGTGTGTGAGAGAGAGAGAGAGAGAGAGAGAGAGAGAGAGAGAGAGAGAGAGAGAGAATAACACTGGGGACAAGCCCAGGCTTTCAACCTTGCGCGGCCAGCCTTCTTTCACTGAAATACACACAAACGCACCATTAACCCTGCTCTAGACTGGGGCTCAGCTTTGTTTTCTCAGTCTCTCGGAGCCTTTCTCTTTCCTGGAACCGCGGAACATTTTATGTGTTAAAACAAGACTGGCTGGCGAGCAGAAGTCAATACTCTCTGTAACATTTCAAAGGCCCCCGGTTTTTTATTTCGAGGATAGTGCTGACTTTATGTTTTCAAGAATTTATTTTCCTTTCCCTGGCTTAAACACTGCAAAGAGCAGGGTAAGGAAAAACAAACAATGGCATTACCAGCGTTCCTCCTCAATCTGCCATTAACTAGTGCCGCGGCCGGCAACAACAACGTTGAAACGTTTTGGGGGGTGCCGGGGACAGTCTCATCACTGACTTCAAGCTTACTACACAGCTGAAGATGACTCTGCACTCTCCCACCTCCCTCCAGGCTCTGGACTCCACCTCCCGAGTGCTGGCATTACTAACACCAGCCACCACACCTCTACCTGGTAACCCCGAACTCTCCACCAAGCAGCTGGAGGTCAAGTGGGGTCAGAGGATAAGGAAAGGGGACAAAGACCAGACACTGACTCTCCAAAACCCGGGCATTTGCTTCCTTGGCCAAACCCCAGCTAATGCTAATTCACAGCTAAAGTTAACCAGGAACGAGCAGCAGAAGGGCCACATGGGTTTGCGTCAAGTTCATAGGAGCCGGAAGTTGAAGCAAAAGTTCAGCTACCATCTTCTGCACCCAGACACTCAAGGTCCTCCAGAGTGCTGAGCATTAAGGCCAGTGAGCACCCCGGGATGGCAGAGACTACGGGGTGCTCCACCAGTTTGGACTCTGAGTGTCTGACACGTGGCCAGCTAGGTCTACTTTTCTTACCCATCAGGTGATTTGGCTAATCTGAATTCTTTCCGTTTGAGACTTCCCCATTGGCATCTCTGATGAAATAGAGAACAATTCCACAAGCGACCTCAGAGGCAGGACCCCAACCCGCCACGTTCAAGGTCGTGTTCAATCCCTAGTAATACAAAGAGAATAAACTAAAATAAAAATAAAAGTTAAAAATCAAAATATGACCTCATAGAAATGGAGTCATATTTATTTTAGTCTGAGTTAAACATTAAATAATTTATAATTATCCTACAGGTAGAGTCTAGCTTACTTGACCAATTAAGAGAGAGCTTCCTAGCCAGGTGTGACAGTGCACTTGGGAGGCTGAGTCTGGTGGACCTGAGTCTTGAGGCTAGTCGAATCTACAAAGAAACACTATCTCAAGAAAAGGAGGAAAGAGGGACCATCCACCTGTGCCACTCAGTCCTAGCTGCTCCACTGAATACTAACATTAAACAAACAAATGGGGGGGGGGGATGCTCTGCCTGTGTGCTTAAGGAAACACGAGAAGAATACCAACCAAGATAAAGAGCTGTAGTTAGCGGGAACGAAAGGCTGGGTGGGGTGACATACATCTTTAATCCCAGGCAATGCAGATCTCTGGGAGTTTGAGGCCAGTCTGGTCTAGATAACGAGTTTCAGGACTACACAGACACTGTCTAAATAGAAAGAAAGAAAGAAAGAAAGAAAGAAAGAAAGAAAGAAAGAAAGAAAGAAAGAAAGGAAGGAAGGAAGGAAGGAAGGAAGGAAGGAAGGAAGAAAGAAGATTCTAGAACTGGATCTTTTCTTCATTATCTCTGACAGTCTTTGAACAGTTCACGAAGTCTCATTGTGGGAGGACCCACAATTCCACAGTCATCTCTACCAGGGGACTGAATGGAAGCGCGCAAACACCTCCAAGTTGCCCAAGTCCTGTTCACCAGACCCAGCACCAGGGAGAGTGATGGCGTGTGTGTGTGTGTGTGTGTGTGTGTGTGTGTGTGTGTTCAATCCCATTCATTTGCCTTTCTTCAGTCTTCACAAAGCTGTACGCTGCTTCTCCATTATTAAGGGTTAAAGGCACCTAATCACCCGGCTTGCACCGTTTAAAACCCAGCTCAAAACGCTGCCACCCCTAAAAAAAACGTCTGCACTCCAAAGCTTGTTGATAAGGCTGTGTGGGTGGGGGGCGGGGACATGGCTGTGCTCTCCCTCCTAATCTTTGGCAGCCAGTGTCGAGTGTCGTTTTGTAAACTTCAGGCTACTTTGATCTTGTCTTGGATTGTCCTGGGGTCTCACCTTAACACTAGCGCCAGATGCCAAAGGAAGATTGCTGGCCCCCTCCAGGAGTCAGCCATAGCTTGAATAACACAAAAGCACAGGGCCCTTTCACAAAGTAGTGAGTGGATCACATGTCTGATAGATTAAATGCACCGGTTTTAAATACAAATACGTTGCGGATGGCCGACTTCATTTGTTGCCACACCAAACCACACGAGTCTATTTCAAATTGCCTTGATTGGCTTCATGTTCTCGCTGTTGAGTCCCTGGACAGACGCAAAGCACTTGTGAAATATCCAAAAAGGTGGAGAGGAGAAAGGGGAACGAAAGGGAAGCCCGGGCCAGAGTGACCCTTACTGAGTCACCGTTTCCTGAATGGCGGAGATCGCTGTTGGGGGGGGGGGGGTCGGAAGAAGGCAAGCTGACCTGCGCATGGAGGCCTAACCCTTAAGCAAGGAGCCCCCCACCCTGCAGCTCCGACACCCAGAGCCTGGCCCGGCGTGCTGGAGCGCCCTCCGGTGGCCACGCCGCAGGCCCCACCACTGGGGCTCCTCCACCGACCACGCTCCCCGCCGTGGAAGGAACGAGACACGCAGAAAGTTTCCGAGCCAGGCGGTCAGCAAAAGAATAGTCAGGTACCGGAGGGGGCCTGGATGCTCCCGCTGGGCAGAAGCCAGCGCCCAGACCGGAGGCGACAAGGAGAAGTCGAGGGTCTAAACCGACCCCTCAAGGCCTCCGACGTGCCTCCGGGCGGGACTCTGGTCTGCAGATCCCACCCGCTCGGGATTTGTCTCTGCAAGCCCACCTTGGCAAAGGGGTGTATGGGTACAGTGCATACCTCCACGGTGGGGTACCCTCGACACCCTGGATGCAAAGCATGCTTGGGCTCTTGTTGGACTCAGTGCATTTGCTTAATTGGAGGGAGGGGGCGCAGCGGCTCCCTGTGACGCATTGTGGTCCCCAGTAATCTGATTCCAGACGTCCCTGAAGAGCCCACCTTGACTCTCCCGCCCCACCCCCACGCCACCTTCCCCCGGCCGGGGTGATGAGTGGGAACGGCGAATACCTGCCTCCTCCCCTCCAGCCTCCAGGTTTGGGCGCCAGGGTAGCACCCGGGTTTTCCAGCCGCACGCAGTGGACCCGCTGGCCGAGTGGCGGCGGCTGGAGACCAGGGGCGGACGGGCGAGGCCCGGCGCAGTGCCTACCTCGTCCACGGTGAGCGGCATGCAGATTCGGTACTCCTTCAGCAGCATGGTCCTGCCGGCCGCGGACCGCGGGGAAGAAGGGGGCGTCCCAACAGATGAACAAGGTTGGCGCCCAACGGAAGGCAAGGGCACTGGGAGCCGGTGAGCGAAGCAGCCCCGGCGGTGCGCTCAGCTCCTGGCTGCCTCCGGTCCGCCCTGGAACATGTCAAGCTTCGAGTCCCGGTGTCTGTGACTCCCCCGCCTCCTTCCTCACGGAGATCAGCCCTCCCGGTATTGCAAAGTCAGGGATTGAGGGGAGAGAGACCCGCGGGAGACAGCTCGAATCGGTAGCCCCGGGCTGGTAGGCGCGGCCACCAGATCAGGACATGCCCGGCAGCGGGCAAGAGAGGCAAGAGGGAGGGGAAAAAAGATTTCCACAAATTCAAACAAATGCACAAAAGTCACCCTCTCGATCCTCGTCCGAAAGCAAAGCTGAACCTTGCGAGCCCCCTTTTCCTTCGACCCGTCTACCCTGGGCTAATGTCACCAGGAACACATTGCCTCAGGAGCCGGCGACGCTGACTTTCCAAACAAAGGCTCGCTGGTCTCCTCTCCCCGGGCGGTAAACAAGATTTCCTGCTCTTTTTTAGGGCCAGTCCCCGAGTCTCTCCAGAGCTCAGCTGGGAGAGAAAAGGGAAGCCGCAGTCGCCAGGGCTCTCCCCTGTTCTGGGCCCCGGGTGTCTCCAAGCTCGGAGGGTGGCTGCCAGCGCCTTGCGCGCGTCCCCTCCCCCGAGTCCCTCGGCTCTGAGAGCGCCGTGCGTGCCCGTGAGTTTGCAGCTACCTCGCCGCGTCTGGAGAGACCGCGCCGAGCTGCAGTGTGCCTGGGGCCGGGAGGTGGGTGCGGGAGGAGCGAGAGCGACCAGGCTGACATCAGCAGCGGCCGCGGCGGGGAGGGTAGCCCCATCCGGCCAATGGGGAAACGGCAAAGAATGTGGAGGATTTAAACAAAACAGCATGTCTCTCCCCGTCTGCTGCCAGACGCCGCCAGGGCTGTCCCGGAACCCATATCAGCGAGCGCCGACGAGGATCTCAAAGAGGGGTTATCCTGGACTCTTAAAATACTGAGATCTGTTTTCTAATGTACCTGGGGTACCACAGGGCTCTCTACTTAGACGCTCTGAAAACGCTCTGTTTCCAAAGACCCCCTTGACTTTGAAGGCGGGGGTCTTTACAAAAGCCCACTGCGAGCATTTTTCTCTCTGATGATTTTGAGAATGTGTTTTCTAACATGCTCTCGAGACGGAATCCTGCAGCGGTGTGGGTGACAACAAAGTAGAGAGAGAGAGAGAGAGAGAGAGAGAGAGAGAGAGAGAGAGAGAGAGAGAGAGAGAGAGAGAGAACACACCCTATCATCACTTGTTACCTCTTACGCCCTGGCTCTGCAATCCTATTGCAGGCTTCTCAGAGCAGGAAGAATAGGTTTTCGTGTCAGCACTTCTAAGTTCAAAAAGTCACAGTGAAACGTCAATAAAAATGCCTGGGGTGTTGGTATTTCATCCATATTAAACAGATCTCTCGTTTTAACCACAAGAAGCACATTCTTTAGTTACTCAGGAAGCAGCATGTAACTGCTGAAGTCTGGTTTTCATTTGTCTGGTATTCATTTTTTTAGCTTGTTTTTTCTAAAAATGAAAAAGAAATGCATCCACTGCTTATAAGAGAATAATCTGTAAGCATCACTGGTTCTCAAATAAATATACATAGATGTGTGTGTGTGCTTGTGAGCTCTGATGACCCACATCTACTCAAAGGGCTTATACTGGGCAATGCAGATTATGCAGACCTCAATGATACAGTATTTTAAATTATAATCAATAAACCATAAAGCAATGTAATGGGGATGGGCTGTGGCTAAAGTTGTCCAGATGGCCCAACTGAGTTTAGATTTCAGGGAATGTGATCCAGCCAGCTAGGAAAATGACACCCTAAATCTAACTTATATTTTGGTAAAAACAAAACAAAAAAACTATTTTCTAGATAAATGCTTCCCAAAGTTGGTTCAGAAAGAAACATTTACAGCAGCTAATTAAAGCTAAACCAAATTCCTTAAGGTAGGGAATTTGTTTCTGTTTTTTAGGACTGTCTCTCTGTGTAGTCCTGGCTATCTTGGAACTCTGTAGGCCAGGCTGTCTTCAGAACTCAGAGATTGGCCTGCCTCTGCCGAATTAAAGGCACGCGCCACTACTGCCCTTTGAGATAGAGGGGTAGAGAATTTAAATCTGACACTGTAGTGTTGGATAATAACACTATGGAAGGGGCGACAAAGAAAAAATAATCTCCGCTGTTTTTTCTTTTTTCTCTTAGTGGAGCAGCTCTTAATCCCCTATGCAGGTCCCACACAGATCCTCCCATGTGTTTTAAATTACCTCTAGACTGCTTATATTGTCTAACACAATGTACATGTGATGTAAGTAGCTGTTATACAGTGAATAACGACAGAGAAACATCTTCACGTGCTCGGTACAGTAGTGTTTCTGTGCATTTTTGATCTGGGTGGGGGGTGCATCAACAGGCCAAGAAACTGCCCTGCCCTCTCTGCCCCGCCCTCCCCCCCAGGCACTGCTGGCAGACCGGTCCCTCCCACCTCCAGTTGCAAGGTGACTTCCCAATGGATTCTCTTTTCCCTCCCGGTCAGCTTCTCAATTGCCTCCACATTAACCCTGTGTGAGCACAGCTCTAAAGCTAGCTAGCACCTTAAAAGCCTTTTGGCGAAGGCAGCAGGGCGCAGGCTCTGAGGTTGTCCCTCCCACGCCAGCCCACTAGTATTTCCTAAGCCTGATGGCTGCAGAAGACCTCCACCTTCTGCTCGATCCTTCTGCTCATCCCCCTGTCCTCTCAGATATCCTCCATGTCATCTTAACCCTTGCGGCATCATTTTAAAGGCACGCATTGTCTATCTGTGTGTTATGGAAAGCGATGCGGACGGCAATATGCTGAATTGGTTGGGACACAATAAGAGAGGTGACTGTATCAACATAATACTACAGAAAACATATGGGAACATATGGACTAGAGAGGGAATGAAGAAGAGAGGAGGAATATAAACGATCTGCGCAGGAATTGGGGTTGGCTAGTATTCATTACTGTGGCTCTTGTTCTGGGGTTAGGAAGAGTTCATTCATAACTCATTTGGTCTAGGGGGAGGAGAGCGCCATCTAGTGGTCAAAGCTGGTGAGTGCTTGCAAATGTTTCAAGCCCTGCCTTCACCAGCAAATGCATGACAAGAACTGTACCTTTTCTGTTTTTGTTTTTGGGACCGGGTTTCTCCTAGCCCTGCCTGTTCTGGAATTCGTTCTGTAGATCAGAATGACCTTGAACGCAGAGATCCACCTGCTTCTGCCTCCTGAGTGCTGGGAGTGAAGACGTGTGCCACCGCGCTTGGCCATACCTTTGCTTCTCTTAAGCCAATGAAGGGCGATGCTATCATGGTAACGGTTGGTAAGAAGGTTGTCCATTAAGGATGGGAAACCATAAGTTATCAGTCATCACATTTAAAAATAGGCGTGGGGCACAGAGGATGTAAAGATATCATATGTGTTGACTTGAGACATGACACTTCATGGTGGGGGTCACTGCAAGGCATTTAACGGCCTTCTTGGTTTCAGTGATTAAATGTGCCAACCGTCCAGCATGTGGCTGTGTTGGGATGGGGGTGATAAGGAATCAGGGTGAGATTCATCAAGCATATGCCAATGTCTAGCGGCTCTGAGCTTGATTGAGACGGACTTTCAGCTTGTCCAAATAGAACTAGGGGGTGGGGTAAGAGGAATGTAGTTCAGTAAGAGAACTCATGCTCAAAGTCCTGGGGCCTTCTATTCTTCTCGCTCCACAGTGAGAAGAAAGGGTTGAAGGAAGAAAATAATTTTAAAAAGAAAATCCAGGCCTTATGAGCTGGACAGATGGCTCAGCGGTTAAGAGCACTTGGCGCTCTTCCAGAAGACGCCAGTTCATGTTGGGAGCCATGCAGCCTGGTCTCAGATCAGCGTTTGAATGCCTGAGGTCCAATGGTTCTCCTCGAGGTAAGGATGGTGAGGATGCTCTCTCGCTGGATCACAGCGAGACTCTGCTGAATTTATGCAGCTTGCAGGCTCCCTTCTCTCGTTATATTGATTCCTTTGGCGGTTTTTTTTTTTTTTTTTTTTTTTTAAGAAAGGGTTTATATGTGGTTTTGGAGCCTGTCCTGGAACTAGCTCTTGTAGACCAGGCTGGTCTGGAACTCAGAGATCCGCCTGTCTCTGCCTCCCGAGTGCTGGGATTAAAGGCGTGCACCACGACCGCCCAGCTGGCGGGTTTTTTTTAATTTATTTATTATGTATACAACATTCTGCCTCCATGTATGCCCACACGCCAGAGGAGGACACCAGATCTCATTACAGATGGTTGTGAGCCACCATGTGGTTTCTGGGAATTGAACTCAGGACCTCTGGAAGAGCAGCCAGTGCTCTTAACCACTGAGCCATCACTCCAGCCCCCTCCTTTGGCGGGTTTTAATTTCACTTTGTCAGTCACGCATGCAACAGCTGTAATTTCCCCCCCGGAAATTCTGTTCTTTCTCGAATATTTTCTCCTTAGAATCAGCAGGGGACTAATGCTTCTCAAATCTCTTATCTGGAATCACTAACTACAACTCCTAATCCTGGGAGCTTTCCTAACTCGACAGAGGCAGTTAAAATGAATGGGTCTGGCTTTCGTATTTGTCCTACGGCAAAGATAGGTGGAACCACCTCGTGGAGAAAGACTCACAGAGCAGTAGTGGCAGGAAGTCAAGAGTACACGTGCGAACATGACACCAGGAGCATTGCCCGTGTCTCACGGTTCTGGAGAGGAGAGAAGGGATGCAGACACAGACTAGGGAGAAGGCCTCAGGAGTACACATAGTGCCAACTGTTGAGAGTAAGTTCCCTGCACACCACACACAGAACCATTGGTAGGGTCTGGTATGCTCCAAGAGGAAAAAAATACAAGGCAAAATGTGGGATGACGGATCCATCATAAAGATACACACACATACATACACAGGAGCTTATATTGGTGAGAGAAGCGTAGGATGGTGGATGGGAAAAGAGCGCCTTACCAATGTCTGCCTTCTACAGAGAGAGTGAGGCATGGGACCCTCTCGGAGAAAGGGAAACCGTATAAAAGCATATCTTGCAGACATGAAAGAACTATCTGGGTTTGAATATTGTTGTCCTTAAAGCATTGTGCCAATGTCCATTACTTCTTATCTTTGTCACCACAAGTAGCTGCCAGCTAACATCAGTGCTGCAAGAGCAGGGGGTGTCTGGCTGATACTTAGTTAAACCTGCAAAAATGCTGCACTCTGTGTCTAGAATAAGGTTATGTAGGGGGCAGGAAAGTGTATTTGGGGAAGCACAAAGGCGAACAATGGGGGCTTCTGTAATGATTGTGATGTATTTCTCAAAATATGATGTGTTTCTTAAAAGTCAAAATAGGAGCCAATAATAAAGCTGTTCAAGTAAGTCTGGTAGAAAACTGTGAATAACGACAGCTAAAGCTATTTGGGTTCACTTGAGTGCAAGTCCACTTGGTGGTCAGATTTCTTCCTTGCGCCAACACCCTTCCTGTCTCAGAACCTGAACCCGAGCTGAGGCTGGACCCTGGCAAATTCAGTTCTTAGCCCCCACATCAAGCAGCTCCCAACTGCCTTTATCTCCAGTTGCAGGGCATATAACATCTTCTTCTGGCCTCTGAGGGCACACAACTACTCATGACAAAAGCACATATATACACATCCACAATAATAATTTAAAAAAATATTCTGGGGCCGGGCGGTGGTGGCGCACGCCTTTAATCCCAGCACTCGGGAGGCAGAGGCAGGTGGATCGCTG